CACTCAAATCTACAACTACTTTGTAATCGAGATGCACATACCAAGTAATTAATGAAGATGCGAGCACGTGCTTGTACTATAGAAATCAAAAAGAAATACGCGCAGATATCAAGGAAATTATAGAAACCACATAAAATCCATTATACAAAAATCGAGATGCACATATGACCTTCTCTAAACTTTGAATAATTAAGCGATCGTGCTGATAATGTGTTATAAAAAGAGAGAAAAATAGAAGAGAATTAGAGAAGTCAATAGATTTGTGTGTATTATAATGAGAACCAAAGTCCTATATTTATAGGGAAAGAATACGGATACATATGCTAATAATATTTAGGGCTGAAGGGGTACAAGTGTCATTCACATTAAACTCTAATTTACTTTCGTTTTACAACATAATGTTCATTATTATCAATATCGGGGGGGTCCTGGGGGGCACATGCCATCCAACTTTTGATTTTTTTTTATTTTTTAAAGTTATGTATGGTATCGATTGAAATCTAAATTTTAATTTAAATCAAAGTTAACAATTAATTCTAATAACATATTTTATGAAATCCATAACTATTTAACTTTTATCAAAATTTACTAAAATTTTGATTTTAATTTCCACCAAATAGGGACNTATATATAATCATGTTTGGTATTGATTGAAATATAACATTTAATTTAAATCAAAGTTAACAATTAATTTTAATAATACATTTCATGGAATTCATAACTATTTAACTTTTATCAAAATTTACTAAAATTTTGATTTTAATTTCCACCAAATAGGGACAAAATCACAATAAATTTGAATTTCGATAACAAGGTAATTTTAAAAATTCTCTAACAATCGTACGCTAATCAAATCTACAAATTGTTTATATAATCTTAAATCTTATTTCGAGAATTACATTATAGGCATATCGAATAGTCTAAACAAAATTATTATTAATTCTAATAATTTTCATCATTCTAGTAGGAAATTTTATATGGAATATGATATCAAAAAAATTTGAAATTTTACATTTGAAAAAGTCATATCTCATGTAAATTTTCGGATGCAAAATTATATGAGCTATGATTTTTTTGGAAGTAAATTTTCGATTGTAAAATTTCTCACAACTTCTTTTCAAGTTCGATTGTGCCCCCCTAACTTTAAACTTTTGCATCCGCCCCTAATCAGTATGCCAACTTTTAGGAAGTAAACAACTCATTAATATATTTAAAATTTAGTTGCAAAATTAGGCTCTTTTATATAAAATCTTATAGAATTTGATGACAAATTAAATATTACATAATTTATAAAGACTTTTAAAAGGTTTTAATTGAATACACCAAGATTTACTTTTAACAGGTTTTTAAAAATCTCAATTGAATACATCGATAATTTTAAAGAGTTATAAAAAAAATCTACATTGAATACTTCTGAAATTTTAAATTCCTTAAAAGTCTTTAAAAATTCCAATTGAAGAATATCCCCTCAAGAGATGATCATGGCAGAAGCCATAATCTGTGTGCCCTTGAGTGATGGAGATTTGAACAAATTTGTGCAGTTTTGGAGGAATTTTGATAATGAGTAGGCAAACCATTTTAAATCATAATTTCGTCAAATCGTTCGATCACCCAAATAAAATCAAACCATTTTAAATCATGATTTCGTCGTATATTTTTTCTGTTCAATTTGATTTATCTAGTTCATTAGTTTGTTCACGAATATAGTTTGGTTACGATGATTAAATTTAGAGAAACTAAAA